GCCTGAGTTCAAATCTGGCCTCAGACCAAACACTTGACACTTATTAGCTGTGTGACCCTGCGCAAGTCACTTAACCCTAACTGCCTTTAAAAAAAGGAGATATATACAGGATAAATTGGAGATAATCAACTGAGGGAAAGCATGAGCATGAAGGGAGATCAAGGTTTTTTGTAGATGGGGCTTTAGCTGGTACCTGAAGGAAGCCAGGGGAGCCTGGAGGTGGAGATGAATTCCAGTCATGGGGACAGTCAGAGAAAGTGCCCAGACTTGGGAGAAGGTATGTTTTGTGTAAAGATCGGCAAGGAAGCCAGTGTTGCTAGATCCCAGAATACACAGGGTGAGGTATGAGAATACTGGAAAGGCAGAAGGGAGGCAGAGTGTGAAGGGCTTTGAATGCCAAACAGAGGATTTTAGATTTGATCCTATAGGTAATAGTGGGCCACTAGAGTTCACTGAATAATATGAGATGGCATGGTCAGACCTTTGCTTTAGGAAAGTCAATTTAATAGATGAGTGAAAAAATGAACTGGAGTAGGGGGGATATTTGAGGCAGGAAGACCAAGAGGAAGCTACTGCAATAGTGCAAAGTGTTAAGGTTCTGCACTGAAGGGTGATGTGTCAGAGGAGAGAAGGCAGTGTATATGAGAGATAGTGTGAGGGTAGAAACAACAGGACTTCGGAACCAATCAGATATAGGGGCTTAGAGTGAGGAGATGAGGACAACATCCAGGTTCTAGCCCGGATGACTGAGAAGATGGTGGTGCCCTTAGTCGTTCATAGGGAAGTTTGGAAGGGTGACGGTTTTGGAGGAAAGACGGCAAGTTCTGTTTTGGACACACTGAAAAATGCTATTTTAGGCAGTACATAGCTATTATAGATTCTGTTGCAGGGAAGCAACATGATAAAAGCAGTATTTTAGGAAGATTAGTCTGAATTGGAGGGAGAGAGGAATTAAGACATGACCAGCTAAAAAGTAATTGAAATAACACTAAAGATCTTTGGTTATAAACTCCAAGGCACAATGGTACACTGTCAAGGTGGTGACCAGATTTTAAAGCTGTCTCTTCTTTCCACCCCAAGAAACTCATTCTCACCAACCACAAAAGCTCCTCAGCCTGCCTGTAGAATTTGAGCCCATCAACCAGAACTGGTATTGATCTGTGGTTTTGCTGGGTTTGCACCCCTTTTTCTTTCCAAAAGCATCTTCAGCCTTTTGGCAGCCCACATGCTGCTGGTAAAGTGGGTGGGGAGGGAATGCAGCAATGTAGCTAGGCCTGCCAATTAAGGGATTTGATTACCAAGATGTCTCTTCTGGGCAGGGCTGCCCTACTCTACACACTGCCTAGTCTGAAGGAAGCCGCCTCCACATCAAGTCTTTAGCTAGACATTTTAAGCCCAGAATCTCATGACGAGATTCAGTTTCTTTTACTGTAGTTTAACAATAGCTCTTTCTCTTGCAAGTATGAAAAGCTTCGTTAGTAATATGGCATTGGGTTTTTGTTTTGTTTTGTTTTTTTCCAAGAGGGCTGTTATGCCTTGGGCAGTTTGTGAAAGTTTTAGAAATGAATGAGCTACAAGTCAGGGAAGGATGATGCAGTTTTTTCTTTGGTAAATTGTTTCCATTTTCACTTTTCTGAAAGAAGCAGAAACTTGAGCAGATGTCTGCGATTTGGATGCTGTTCAATTCCTCTCCTATGGGGTGAAGGGTTTTCTCTGTTTACTAGCCACTTGATTTCATTTGTGGCTGACCGGCATATAGTTACATGGAGATAAAAAGCCCTTGGCTTGCCCCAACTAACACATGGTGACTTAACCGAGCTGCAGTATTGTTATTTTACTCCAGGATAATGTTGGTCTAATTCTTCCTTACTGTTTACACTGATGGCGTCTATAACCACCCTTGGTACTTTAACATGTTTGCTTTTCTCTGTGTAAATAAATTCCATTTAAATGTCTCCAGCACTTGACCCTTCCCTAACTAAAGTTCATGTCTCTTTTTTTGAATTAGACATTTACACAAATAATCTAGTTTCCATTCTTTCCTCAGCTTTTCATCATTATTCCTTTCCCATATTTTTGATGTCTATTTTGTATCTACTTGTATGAGTTATTTGCCTAATAGAATGTAATTTTCTTGGGGGCTCGAATGGTTTTGTTTTGGTCTTTGTTGCCCTAGCATCTAACACATTGCCAGATACACAGAAGGTACTTGAGAAATACTTGATTTTTTTGGTAGTTACATTGTTTCTACAATTTCTTTTATAAAATTCATTAAAAAGCCTGCCTTATTTAATATGGGAAATATGTAGTTGTCAAAATATGGTCTCAGCAGATGGTTATAGAACTATACATTATATAGCCTCTCCAACCTATATTTTTAATTGATTTAATCATTTAAAAATATGTAGATGCTGAAACTAAGTTAATTCTAAAGGATTTGAGATTAATTCAGGTTTCTTTTGGACATAACTGATATATTCAACTCATACTCTCTTTTACTGATACTCTTATGTAATAATTAAAAATGTTCAAATATGGTTTGCTTCTTCCATCCCTTGCAGCCTTTCTGTGCTCCTAATGGTTTATCCTAGCTTTCAGACAACATAAAGCACTGGATTTTTTTAGGGATGCGGTATCCCTAAAAATATGGGCAGATAGGTAGCACAGTGCATAGTGTGCCAGACCTGGTGAGTTCAAACCTGGCTTAAGACACTTAGTAGCTGTGTAACCCTGGGCAAGTAACTTAACCTTGTTTGTGTCAGTTTCCCCATTTGTAAAATGAGCTGGAGAAGAAAATGGCATACCATTCCTATATCTCTGCCAAGAAATCCCCTAATGGGGTCACAAAGAGTTAGACATGACCAAAAACTACTGAACAACAAATCCCTAAAAATAAATGTTTGCTGAAAACTCAATACCAAAAATATTTCTGCCTAAAAGGTGTCGTATTTTCTACAACAAGCTGCAAAGCCTGAGGAACTGGGAATTGGAAGTGAGATGAAATTTTTTTTTTTTGGCTAGGCAATGGGGTTAAGTGACTTGCCCAGGGTCACATAGGTAGTGTTATGTGTCTGAGGCCACATTTGAACTCAGGTCCTCCTGACTTCAGGGCAAGTACTCTATCCACGGTGCCACCTAGCTGCCCCCAGATGAATCTTTGATAGTAATTATGTCAGTGACATACTATGTATATAAATCTGAACAATTTCACTTTCTACATCATAGGTGTGCCCATGAGAGTAAATAAACTGCTATGGATATAGTATGAGTTAACATCATAAAGAATCTCAGCAACTGCATAAATCTCAGCTTACTGAGAATTAGAAAATTAGTGCTAGTGACCATGTGTATATGCACATTGCTGAGTATTTTTATTTTAGAATGGTGAAAAGAAGATCTACCTGTGTTTATATTTCAATTTTTGTATAATACACCTGAATTTATCTCACTGTGAAAATTCATGATAAAAGGAAATGTTTCTTGTTCAAATAAACAATCAGCTGAATATTAACCAACCTTTCTCTGTGGAGTCTAAAGTAGATGGACTTTGTAGACAGCAGAATAGTGTAGTGCTATGAAAAACAGCAATAAAGCAAAGTGACAATTATAGTCATTGGAATACCTAGGATTCACGATTGGGTCTGAGCTGTTTTAACACCCAAATTTCCCAGGACACGAACCACAAGGTTGCAAAGTTCCCAGGGAGCTCATTTAGTACATCCTCCTGCTTTCAATTTTCTCTTTAGGAAAGGGTATTTCATTGCTTCACTCAGGAAAAAAAAAGTCCCAGTTACGCTTCATGCCTAACCAAGGCAGATTTTGTTCTTCTCATGTCATTTCCCCTGTGATTTTTGGAGACTGTTAGTTCAGGTTTTCTGAAGAACTGAAGCAGCTATGGAAATAATCACATTAACTCCTATAATAAACTTATGCAACCACTGTCAATCTTTTTAGTAAAATGTATCTGGCTCTCTGGGAGGCACTCAAAAACCAAATATTATATCCTAATATCTATCATCAGAAGAGTCATTGGGAACAGGTTTGATTAAAATATTATTAGAAATAATCTTACTCCATACATCTTAGCTCCCCCTAGTCACTTAAATGTGGTATCATATGAAAATGACAGTTACCCACCTGCATGAATTATGGGGTTCATAATATCTGCTGAAGCATCACAAGGTTACCATCACCAAGTAACACTAACATTTACATAAATGGCATTGTGTTGGAATCTAACAAAGAAAGAAAACTTATGACCCCAGTGTGACACCTTGGATATTATCCTTTTTTTTTTAAGGACATCTTGTTCATTGCTGGGAAGAAACTAAAAAAATAAAGAAAAACCTGCTCTCAGTTGTATTAATCTTCCAACTGAATACATTGTTTAACTGCTCTCAATGCCATTTTTCACACTGAAAAATGTCCTAATCCTACTGCATCTCCCAAACCTCTAAAAAAGATTGCCCTGGCTCAGCAGGGCTCTCCCTCTTCCACAGCCTTGAGGATGGGACTTCTCAAGTCAAGTAGTATCACTTTTCTAATCTTTATCTAGAAACCACAATTGTAACATATCCCTGGACTCCCTGACTTTTTGATACCAACACTCCCTATTTCCCTTGTGAGCTTTTCTTGTGTTCACTCCTTTTCGCCTCTCATCCATCCCCTCCTTCTGGTTCACCCCTCGCCCTCTTCTTCACCTCCATTCTCCTAGCTGCTCAGTGAGAACAGTGGCCTCAATTGTTTCAAGGTTTGGGTCAGTATGAGCTCCCTCTTTGGCTAAAAGAAACTTTGTTCATCTCTTAACAGTCAGTTTCTGGTCAAGTTATTTTGGATGATGGGTGCTGGAGCACAGGGTCAGGTTTGGAGGTTATTAGAAAAGGTTCCATGGCTGAAGCTTAGCTCTTGTTTTATGAGTCTTATTCTAGTTAGGAACAAGAGTCATGCATATGTACCCTATAGGTTTATGACGTATACACTTTATAAAATACATCAAGCCCTTTGAAAGTACACTGGAAAACACCACCACACGCCAGTGATTGGGGTGGGGAGGTATTTCTCTTTATTCTTGGTTCCAGATAGTGTTTACATTTTGAGTCAAGAAAATGGTTTAAGGTGGTGATTTCTTTCCTTTTTTTTTTTTAACATTCTGAAAAATAGCATAAACTTCTGATACAAATACAACAGAATCAGAATGAACCAAAACAAATCTCTTCTCCCAGAATGGAGAAAGGAGAGGAAGAAGAAAGATGCCACTATCATGAGGCAAAAGTATTTCTCTGCACTGAGTCAACAAGACAAGACAGTGCCGAGCAGAACTTTGTACTTAGTAGGCGCTTAATATTTACCATGTTTAAATGAACTATTAGCAGTGAGCTTTAGAATTGTGAAGTTTCAATCAGGGGGCTGTGTGAATGGTAACAAAAGATGAGGCCAGGAAAAACTTTTGACATTACATGTAGAAGCCGACTTCTACGATGCCAATACATTAAATAAAGAGGCTAACCACAGCAATTGTTTAGTACAAAATTATTCAATATTCCTATTTTTTTCTAGCACTCTAGGAATCAGACAGAGTGAGTCAGTGAATAATTTCATCTTTCTCAAAGATTTGCACAGGTAAAGCAGATAGCCAGGGAAGCTTTCTTGTGGTGAATAGCAAACAGCTAATATAAACAAACAAAACTGATTCCTAGCCACTTAAAGCTTGACTGAGGTTTTGTCATTATCAGCTTCCAGTTCCTTCATCATTCTGTATGCAGAGGCTGGGCTGTAAGGGACTAATTTTTTTTCCTGTGATTTTCCATTTCTGCTATTTTAGTGAGTGCTCCCTTGTTACCATGGCTCCTCATTTTTCTAGACTGTGAAAAAAAGTTGATTTATTTCTATTTGGCACAGACCAATTATACACACAAATAATGTACTTCAATGGCAGATGGATGGTTAAATGTATTAGATCAATAGTAAAATAAAAGTTTTTGCAAAGACTACTAACCAAACTTTGAAAGTGACTTGTTTGGAGGTCTGCTTACATGCAATTAAGCTACTTTCATAGCCTGCAGTACACTGAAGTTACGGTTATAGTGTGGCCTTTCACTGTCACAACAATGCCTGAGATCATGCTCTTTTAGGAAGAAGTGAGAGGGCACAGCCTTGACAACAAGCATTTCCTTCTGCCTTGGGTGAATTAGAGACTAAGAGAATATAAAGGAAGACAAACAGAGAAGGCTGAAATTCAAGAAAAGATGATAATTGCACTGAGTGAATCATTTTCTTGCAAGTTTGGAGATGAGATCTTTCCACTCCGCCCTCTTCCTCGTGATATACACAGGTGTGAGATGCTGCAGCCGTGGCTCCGGCTGTCCCTTAAAGAAGCCCTGACACAAGGCCTCTGTGTTACAGATTACGTACATTCCACAGTCATAGCTGTTCTGCTGAGCAGGGGCTTTCTCTTCCACAAATGCTACTTTGTCCCCTCTTTTTCCCAAGAAGGCCTCCAGTTTCCCCGCTACCTGGCTTGCATGGACAAAGTTGCTCCTGCTATGTGAATCATAATGGGAAAATCTATTTTTGTCTTGGAGATAAACCAACAAACTCCAGTGAGTTCCCCCAGCGGCTTGATTGGAGTTATTATTGATGGGTAAGAATATAACTCTTTTGTGGGGCAAGTCAAGAGGCTGAAGGAACATGGTGATCTCCTCTGGGCTGGCGGTACACTTGATAAATTGAGTGACTTCTGGGCTGACGAAACACACTTGGTCTGAGCAGTCATGGAACTGGTCACTAGCAAAGTACTCAAAAGCAAATCCAATAATATGGTCATTAAGCCAGCTGGGAGGATCCAACAGGGAGACATCTGATTCCCGTAGTAAACTGTCCATGTAACTCAAAACAACAGGGTCCATTCTGCACAGAGACCAACTGGAAACAAACGCCAAGAGCTGAAGCAAAGGGCAGAAGACAATATTTACTGATGCATATCCTGTATAAAAACCAAAATATACCTGTAGGGAGCTTGGAAGAGCAATGGACTAGGTCAAACAACCCATTACAGTTCTTATTCTACCACTATCCAGGTGTTTTGGGCCCCAGCTTTTCTATCAGTTAAGGAAAAGTCCAATTAGTAATACCATGTGCTGCCTCCCTAAAACTCATAGGGTTGTGAGACTTCAATCACATAGTTTATACAGGTATATATTTCTATTTGCTGTATAACTCTAAAGAGCCATATAAATAGATGTTGTTACTACTGTCCCTATTTTATGGATGGGCAAATTGAGATTCATAAGTGATTTGCTCAAGGTTATACAGCTAGTAAGCAGGAAAACTAGGACTAAAACCCAGGTCTTCTGATTCTGAGTGCAGGGTTCTTTCTATTGTCATAACCACAGCTCACATTTGTATAATGTTGTTATAGTATACATCCTGAAGCATAACAAAAACTTCTAGAAGATAGTATTCTGGAAGCACCCTTTCTCTCCCTTGGGAAAGGAAGTTCACTCATTCAGGAATTCCCTACACCAATGAAATCACAGGTCTAGTCCTTATCCTTTGAATTTTAAAAAGCACTTCATCTATATTTTGTCATTTGCTCTTCAAAATAATCCTAAGAAGGAGCTACAGATTTCTTGTCCTTTTCTTTTTTTTTTTAAAGATGAAGAAATGAAGGCGGGCTGACATTCACAAATCTTGTGTAAGTTGGAGGTAGGATTCAAACTCGGTTATCTCCCAACTCCAAGTGCATTGTTATTTTTACTACAACACATATCACAGCTTTGCCATTTACTACTTATATCATCTTGGGTAAGTCACTTAACTCTGGGCATCAGTTTCCTCATGTGGAAAATGAGAGGGATGGATGAGATGATCTCTTATGGTCCCCTTTAGCTCTCAAGTCTATCTGTACCACATTCCCTCTCTGTAAAACATTTGCTTAATTAGAAATTAAGTTTTTAGGCTGCTAAGATGGTGACAGGCTAACACTGCCTCACAGGGTTGCTCTGAAGAAAGTGCTTTATAAACCTTAAAATCCTATTATATACCAATGAGATGTTTGTATTTAATGTCAGATAAAATGCTTCAGCAAATAAGGAAACTTTTTTTTTTTAGGCAATTGGGGTTAAGTGACTTGCCCAGGGTCACAGAGCTAGTAAGTGTCAAGTGTTTGGTTGAGGCCACATTTGAACTCAGGTCCTCCTGACTTCAGGGCTGGTGCTCTATCCACTGTGCCACCTAGCTGCCCCCAGGAAACAATTTTTAATAATGCAACTAGAAAGCTTTACCAAGTATGTAAGTTTTACTTTGTCTCAAAAGGAAAAAAAAGGTGAAAAGTAAGCACAGCCTCCTTTTCTGCTTTTGGGGTGGAGATGGAAATCAATCTCCTTGGAAATGGTTGCATTGAGTTAGGGAGCAAATCTGTTCCAGTATTTTATCCTTGGCACTAGGTGCCAGAGGAGTGCTTATTCCAAAAGAAACTGTCTGTTCTTTCCCCACATAAGGAGGATGCCATTATAGGAAACATCAATATGTTGTCAATGTACACAAACCAGGCAGTTCTGAATAGTACTGGATTTCTAGGATCTTCTATTCTTTACAGATAAATGAATCCAATAATAAATTCTTAATGTTTTTATAGAAACTTCTTCGCAGTCAAACTTAATAAAAGAATGAATCTAGTTATTTGTAATGATATTCTTAAAGTAAAATTCCATATATTAGTGAAGCTATTACAAAGCACTAAATCTTCAAAGAAGATTAAATGTTTATGATTTTTATAGGACTTTGATTTGATACAATTTGATGCAAGTAACCTTTTGATTACTTATTAACTTAAGAATTTAAAAGAGCACTGGACTGGAATAAGGAACTAGATATTAACTAGTTGCATGGCAAGTCATTTAACTTTTCTATGCCTGAGTTTCCTAAATCTATAAACGGCGAAATTGTACTGGATGATTCTGAAGACTCTTCTGCTTGTAAATTCTGTTGAATCCAAGGCTAATTTCATGTAATTCTTGCATTGTAGGCACTTAATAAATAACTGTTGAAAAAAATGAACAAATTAATGTTTAAGAAATGGTGGTTAGATGTTACTTGAGGAAACACTTCCTACTGCAAAGTCTGTTAATGATTTTCAGACCTAGTTAGCATGTTGTGTTTGTTATTCAGTCATTTTTCAGTCATGTCTGACTCTTGGTGACCTCATCTGGGGTTTTCTTGGCAAAGATACTGGAATGGTTTGCCATTTCATTCTCCAGTTCATTTTACAGATGAGGAAAGTGAGGTAAATAGGGTTAAGTGACTTGCCCAGGGTCATACAGCTAGTAAGTATGTGGGGCCAGATTTGAACTCAGGAAGATGGAGTCTTCCTGACTCTAGGCGTAGCACTCCATCCACTGCACTACCTGCTCAAACTATGCCATTTAAATAGCAACTACTGAGCAGAGAAAAAAAAACCATCCTTAAATTTAAATCTAAAAATAATATAATTTCAATATTCAATGTCAATATTTTTTAAAAAATGACACTATATTTAGGGAATCTTATTCCTCTGGTATTTTATACATGTTGCAAAACACTAAATAGTGGTTAAATATCAGAATCACTTGTTATAATATGGTTTAAAATCACATTATAATGAGGATGTTGCAAGTAAACTAGAACAAAGGAGTGAAATCTATTGAGATCAAGGATGAACAATAGCATTTACAAACACTTCATAACATCTGTGTTTTCACTCCTTGAAAATGTGTGTATGGCTGTCAGGTGATGAGAGCACTAGTATTGTTTGCTTTAGTAAATAAAGGCTCACTAAGGAAGTCCAGACTTTTGGCTCTTATTCCTTCTAACATTTATATAATACATAAAATTTATTTATATAAGTATAATTTTAAATAATCTTTCATATGTAGATCCAAATATATATACACATATACATACACACATACACTTTAAAAGGAATAAGAATCAAAAATCTAGACCTTCTTAGACATCGAGAGGCTTTATTTACTAAAGCAGACAATAAATTTACACAATCAGTTTAAATAAATTCTATAATAAATCACTTATTAACAATGTCTCCTATACCTACCTACATATATAGCCTCTCTACACATACATATAGATACTATTGATTTTTAGATATTCATATCAATACTTTAAATTTATCACATAAATTTATATATTTCATAAGACATAAATTTTTATATATATATATATATATATATATATATATATATACACACACACACACATATAAAACAGCCTCATGATGTCATTTTAAGGTATCACACAAAAAACAGTAGCTCTGCTGCACATAATAAGTGCCCAAGAGGTCCTATTTTTCAAACACTGTCTTTGGCTGTTGTACTGTGTAGGGCTTATATCTAATGGCTCAGAAATATCCTAACTGCAAGTGATGTTCCCTGTAACATGACACTCTAATTGCCAGTAACACGATTCCCTATATTTAATCAAGGCATATGTGCCAACTGTGCATTAGTGGTCAAGTCATTTATTGAAGCTAATGACAATTTTGTCTATGAGATGATCAGGTCTGAAGTATAATCCAGCATAATCAAGTTAAGGATTTTAACATAATTTCATTTTTTAAATCAATCTTAGAATTTTTGCTAGGCAGTATTTTGAGATCAACTAGCCCAGACTCCCACCGGACACGTGAATGCCTGCTAGACGATCAGCCCGTCTCTGGGCCTGAACAACTTCAGGGATGGTGTCTTCTCTGTTTTGAGATGCAGTCCACTTCCCCAGTTAGACCCTATCTGGAGTGTAATACACAGTTCTGGGTGCCACATTGTACAAACACTGATAATTGGGAGAGTGAGCAATGGAGCACAAGTAGGACGGGATGGGTCACGAGTCTATATCCGATGAGAATTGGCTGAAGGAACTGGAGTTGTTTAGCCAGAAGAGAAGACTTAGGGATGGCGGAAGTGGGTATGACAGCTCATTTCAAGAATATGAGGAGTTACAATATATTAGAAGGATTAGTCTTGCTCTTAGGAGAAACTTCTAAACAATTAGAAGAGCTATGCAAAAGTGAAGCAGGCTGCCTCTAGAGGTAGTGGTTTCCTCCTCACTAGCTCTTTCAAGCCAGAACTTAAGAGCTTATTCTGTGCCCAATGTTGAGCTAAGTGCTAAGGAGACAAAAACAAAAGTGAAGTCAGTCCTTGCCCTCAAAGAGCACACATTTTAATGGGGATACTTAGGAGAGAATTTCTTCAGGTAAAAGTTGGACTAATTGTTTTCTGGGCTTTCTTTTAACTCTGGGATTATGTGCATTTTGGGCCAACTAATTAACCATTAGAAATTTCCTCCTCATAACTCATTTATAGAATATTTTAAGGTTATGCTTTACATTGATTACCATTTGATTTCCTTAGCAATCTCATGAGATGAATAATGTATCATCCTCTGGGAGCTAAAATCATGTGTAGTATCTTCAAATAAAGATATGGAAACTTAAGTTCAGAGTTTAAGTGACTTGCCTGACAGCCTTCTGATGCCTTAGCGCTCTTTCCATTACACATTTTAGATGCCCTGTAATAGCCCCCACCCAACAATGGCCCTAGTTCTGTTCTCTGGAGCAACTATGATCCGTTTTCCATATGACATCCTTCCAAATAACAAGAGATCAAAAAATATTTAAAATAGATAATATATGCAGAGCTGCTGAGAATTTCCACATCAACATGGCCTAATATGGACAACTGGTGGAATATCGTCAGTTTCAATGCATTTGCATCTGTAGTGCCTGATCCATAATTGGTGCTGAATAAATGCTTGTTGAATTGAATTTATTAGCTTAATTGAATAAATGTTTATTGAATTTATTTTTAGAATGAAATACAAATTTTATCTTTTCCTAAGTACCATTCCATTCAGATTCTTTATTACATTACTGTGTTTCTCCATGTGGAAA